GGGGCGGACGGTTGGAGCAGTGCATCGTACAGTATCTTCAGCAGTTCCAATATTTTTCCTTATCCCTATAAAACTATCATATTATGAATAGCTATACTTTTTTCTTACCCGCGCAGTTCTCCAATACTTTTTTTTTACCACCAATATTTTTCTCATCTCCCTTTGAAGAAAGAGGAGATACAACTCTCTCAATATCATAGGGACCATCCCACAACCACTTTTCGACCATATTTTTTCTTACACTCTTGTGAAATCCACCTACCATATGAGTATTAGAGAAGATATATTTGGTATTGCTGCAACAACTCTTCCAATATTAACAAAAGATAATACTAGGCTACCCCAATATATATATATTAGGAAAAAATTATTAAAAACTGCTGAAGATGCTCTAAATGAGATATGTGAACGAGCCTTATGCTTCAGCCACGTGATGCATAACCCGAGGACAAATTCACAAGACCGACTGTATTTTACAGTTTTGAACAAAAATCTATAACCTTTGCGTATTTTTTGAAGTTCTAGAATATCAATTTTAGAATGTGTCTAGCCAACAACTGGTTATTTTAGCCCCTCCCAATAACCAGATTTTTCCCATGCACTTACACTATTTTATAGCTATATTTACACTACCTTATTACTATATTTACAATGATTTCTTCAGTGTAATTTATTAAATAGAGCGATGTAATTTAGGAAAATAACACAAATATATGCCATTTTTTTAAAAAAAATACAAATTATTTCTATAGATTTCAGACATCAGAGCAATATATATCAAATTATTCATAAATGATTAAATTGTCCACAAATTATTCACAAAACTCAGAAAAAATACATATTTTTGCTGGTTGCTGGTGCGCAGGCTCGGCCTGGGAGTCGACTGTGCCGCGCTGGCCAACGCTGTCTCCAGTTGATTTGGCGGCGGAGGGAGTAGCGGCAGGTGCCCGCGCCCGCGCCGAGGAGGGCTAGCCTAGGGGGCGGCGGCAGACGGCCAGCTCAGCTGGGTTGGGAGGGGGCGGCGGCGGAGGGAGCTCGCACCGAGGGAGCTGGTGCCGGGGGTGGTGGTGCTGGAGGGAGCTGGTGCCGGGGCGGTGTGAGGCGGCGGCGGCAGAGGAGCTCGCGCCGACGGAGCCGCGCTGAGGAAACTAGATCGGACGCCAGAAGCAGGGAGCTGGATCGAACGTCACGTAGAAGATCGAACGGTCAATAATCCGGTTGCTAGCTTCCCCTAAAACATGCTGTTGTTAGTTAGCAAATCTGTAATTTTAATGTATGCTTGTTCACATGCGTATTTAACGTTAACTTTATTTCCAAAAGTATCAATGTTATCGACTTTGCTTTTATTAGTAGTTGATGTGTTTGTCTAAGGGCATGTTTGTTGATACATATGACTAGTTAATAGTTGGGTTTTTTGGAACCAGGTCATTACAATTTTTCAAGTTTGGAGATATGCTATTACAATTCGCCTATTTAGAGAGCTGCCATTATAAATTTCATCTATCCCTCATCCATGCCATTTTCTACGCCTCTCGCGTACATAGACCCATTATCAGGGACGTATGCGTACAGGAAAGCATATGGACGTTAAGTACCGTGCTCCTCCGTTAGACGTGCCCACGCTCGTCCGTCTCCTCTGGCTAGCGGCGGCGTTGGACTTAGAGGAAGAAGAAGGGGTTGCCGGTCTTGGGGAAGATGATACCCATGGGGAAGAGCACGAGGCGGAGCGGTCGCGCTCGCCCATGGTAGCTTCGTCCGCTGCGTCGCGCGCTTCTCGCCGGCCACAACCAGCCCACCCCGGCTCGTCCACGCATTATCGGTAGCTTCCTACCTTCCCTGTCAACGCCACCATCCAGAACGCCGGCCGTTTCCTGGACGGTGCGGCTCGCGCGGAGGCCGCCATGGAGAGCGTTCCTGCGCCGCCGTCGGGGCTTCCTACGCCATGGAGATGCGCCATGAACGCCATGGACCAAGGATTCCTGCGCCACCGTTGGGGCCGCCAGAGCCGCCGCCATGGACCGAGGATTCCTCCGTCGCCGTCAGGGCCACCCGAGCCGCCGCCGGGGCCGAGCTCGCCCGCGGCGGGACAAAGCTCGCCTACGCCATGGCCGGAGCTGAGCTCACCTAGCGGCATCCCCGTCTCCTCGCCCGCGCCATGGCCGAAGCCCACCCTTGTCGTGCCCGTGGCCACCCTCTTCGGGACCGAGCTCGCCTGGCGGTGCCCCCGTCCCCTCGCCGCGCCATGGTCGGAGCCCACCCTTGCTGTGGCCGTGACCACCGTCTTTGGGACTGAGCTCACCCGCGCCATGGCCGGAGCCAAGCTCGCCCGGCAGCATCCCTGTCCCCTCGCCCACGCCACGGTCGGAGCCGAGCCCGATGCCGCTGCGGAGCCCGAGCCGACGCACCGCCGAGGAGGAAGAGCCCCATCACCGGCGAGGAGACCCCCTCCCGCTGGTCTTATCTTCCCCGAGACCGGCGACCCATCTTCTTCCTCTAGGACCTGGGAGTTCGGTGCCACCGCTGCAATAGGAGCCAGAACCGACGGAGGAGCACGAGCACCTGTACGAGAAGAGGCTGCGACTTAACGTGTATACGCTTTCATGTACACATGCATACCTGACAATGGGCCCATGTAGGTAGGAGACATAGAAAATGGCACAGATGAGGTAGAGAAGAAATTATAATGACAGTTCTTGAAATAGGTGAATCGTAATGGCGTATTTCTAAACTTCGAAAATTGTAATGGTCTGGTTCGAAAAAAACCCTTAATAGTTGGGCTAAATAATAATCCAAATTAACTATAGTTGGCTAACAACTAGTGTAAGACTTACTAAAAAATTAACCCAACTTATTAGCCTCATGTTTGGATGCAGTAGAACTAATTTAGACTAGTTTTTAGCTAGCTAGCAATTAGCCTTTGGATCAAACAGACACTAAATTTGGTATTAGGGAGTAGTTGTTATGTTCGCCCAGGCTCTATAAAATCTCTGGGTCCGCCACTGCCTGCCACCCCCAGTGACGGCCAAGGCTGCAAATGAGGGTTGGACCAATCGCGGTGAGGTGGGGCGGATGTGAAAGTGCGATTGATGGTGCGATGCACGGGATAACGATAAGTCTGGTGGTACCTTTGCATGACCACATGCAAATGAGTCTATCTCGCACACCAAAAAAAAAATGAAAGGCTCTGTCTCCTCAAACCACGGTGTTTGTTATGATTGTGAATGCACGGTTTAGGAAGACAATTTTATATCAGGAATCCTATATTATTTCTAAATTATCCGAACCACTTTTACATATATTCTTTCTCTCTTGTACAGTTGTATCAGGAATTCTTTCTTATTTTTTTATTTTATTTTCCATCTTTCCACCTGCCGGCGTACGTTGAGAAGTGTCGTGGGATCGCACGAAGAGAGGCAGAGCGATGACCCGAAAATTGTCGCACCATTCAGTTGTCTTACTTTTATTCTTTTTAGTTGTAGAGAATTTAGTTCTTACACATGTGTTTGACTTATTAGTTTCCAGGATGGAAATAAGTGATATTCGAGATCGAAACAGGTTATCTTAACAAATGACAACATTGAGTAATACTAAAAGACAAAGAAAAGCATCTGGAGCCACAATTGAAAAATGCAACGACAAACGTAGAAAGCTGAACCAACCTCCGTTCCTCAAAGTTTGGTGGCTTAGCTTAATTGTTCCTCAAAGCTAGCACCAGAAATTTGCAAATGAAGCAAAAGATGCTCCAACGTCGACGGCGAAACGAAAGTCCAACCCCCTAACCGATGCTGAGAGACCTTTGTTTCAACTCGCAGCCAACGGTTACTGCTACTCCATCAAAAGAAGCACACGACACGAGGAAGGAAAAGAAGAGAAAGTTACGATTTTTTTAACTGTCATCGGTATCTGTTACTTAATTATAAAAAGTTAGAGTAACACAGTGTAGTCAAAGTGTACTACTCTATTAGAACAAATTGATAATAAGTGGGTGCTTGATTTTTTGGTCGCTCTTAAAATTCATGTCACGTCGAATGTTTAAATACTAATAAAGAGCATTAAATATAGATTAATTACAAAACCAATTACATAGATGGAGGCTAATTTGCGAGATGATTTTTTAAGCCTAATTAATCTGTCATTAGCACATGTTTACGGTAGCACCACGTTGTCAAATCATGAACTAATTAGGCTTAAAAGGTTCGTCTCGTAAATTAATCGTAAGTTATACAATTAGTTTCGTAATTAGTCTATATTTAATATTTAATGTATGTGTCAAATATTCGATGCGGCGGAATTAACGGGGCCTAGATCTTGAAGAGTTGGAGGCTCAAATCATCCGTATCACCACGCGACAAGCTGTTGTTGCAACGTAGTATAGCTGTTTTGAAAAGACAAAAAGGGTGGGACCAGCTGCATGCTGCCCTGGCTGTTCCCTTTCCTGGCCCCAACCTTCCGGGCCGCGAGATCGAGATCCGACGGTGCACACGAAGCTTGACGTGCCCACCACCTCCTCTTACCTTTCTTCTGGCTTTCTTTCTCCTCTTACCGGAACCGGACAGACAGCAAGCCTACCTTTCCTTCTCCCGTTCCCCCAGCGTGCGCGCTCCATCTCCCTGCGGCCCTCTCCCTCCCGAGATCTCCTCCCTCCCTCCCTCCCTTCTTCTCTCTCTTGCCGACGATTACGCCAGGTGCCCAGGTCTTCTTCGGGCCGAGGGCGGTCGCTGCCGCCGTACGCCAGGTGCCCAGGTCTTCTCCGGCCCTTCGCCGGCGACGAGCACCACCAGGTACGCCCACCCCTTGGTCTCCCATTCCTGCTGTTCGAAACCGAGCACCCAAACCCTAACTTGCTATTTGTATTCGGATCTGGTCTAATTAGAAGCGTATATGCATGTATTATGCCTACGCGCTTCGATTGTTTTGCAAAAAAATTCTGGGTCCGCCCTGGGGTACATCATCTTTGAATGCCTTGTCAAATGGTGCCATCTCTTTGAATGCCTCCTAGAATGACCCTATCTTCAAATAACCAATGGTACTCATCCGGATTGTGTGTGTCTGATTGAAATGGCATTTATTTATGCTTTTTTTGCAGGCTGAGCTCCACAGTGGTTCTTGGAGAGGTTTGTAATAGACTACACCTGTGCAAAGAAGAGAAAAAGGGATCTTGGAGAGATTTGTGACAGACTATTGGGGGTGAATACACCTACGCAAAAGAAGAGAAAAAGGGGAAGGAGAGAAAGATCTCAATGAATTGAAGTCCATATGTCAAAAACAAGAGCAAGGAGCTGTTGTACAAGGGGCTCGTGGAAGGAGCATATCATATATTTGTAGGGGATAACTTTACACTTGACTCATGGGCGACTGGGTTATAGGGGCGTTGATAAACATCGTGGGGAGTGTTGCCATAAACTTTGGTACCAACCTTCTGAAGTCAGGCCATGATCAGGTGGATATTACATGTTTCTGAATTGTGCTCCTTGTTCTTACTTCTAATATACTTCATATATGTGTTCCAGTCAAAAGATCGAGGAGAACATACATGCGGGTGCCCTTGTTTGACCGATTTAGTCAGCTGAGGGTGAAAACACCTTTAGTCTAAATCCATGTCTTTTTACCAAAAAAAAAAAAAGCAGAAAAAAAATGAACCCCAGTAGCACCCTTTTTTTGGTTACCAGATGACCTAGCCATTTCATCTACAGCCTTCATCATGAGAAAATGTTGCATTAACTGATAAAGATCTTGATTGCCTCATTAGCTATTTCTAGTGCACTTGAAGATGTTGTAAGCAATAAATTGTGCATTTGATGTCAAACTGTAGGACAGCACGTCAAATATAGCTTGATTCCCTAGGCCAATATTGGTAACTTTGTAGCTAACCTTTGCTGTGGTACTTGAGCATTGTCTACATTAATGCCTAACATCCTTTGAAATTAATGTGATTGTAGTTATTTTTATGTGTGGATTATGAAAAAAAGGAACAAGCAACTTATGACTATGCGAAATTAGGCAGTAAATAAGAAGAAACCGGCACCCAATCTCATGTTGAAGAGATCTTGCACTTGCACTATGCTCAATTCCCATGTGTGAATATGATGTTGTTTTACGTGGGAAGAAGAATAAAAAAAATATGTTTGTTTTATTTGGCAGAGAGAAAAGCTTTCCTTAATTAACAACAGCGAGGGAAATGAAAAATTCGTTCCAAAGTCTGTTATGCATTTCCAGACGTGGAGAATAGGTAATCCTACCTGCTAGAATTTATTTACTAATTTTAGAGTCTTTTAATCAAGGCCAACTTTAATGCTACATCTGCATTCAGGTATACTCTTTTTGCTGCTGGGAACTGCCTCAACTTCATGTCATTTGCTTATGCTGCACAGGTTCTTCTCGTTGTCCTCAAGGCGTCAAAAGCAAATTTAGTTTAACATGTAGGATGTAATTTAATATGGGAAACTCATGAATGGTTGTGTAAACATGTAAAGAATAAAGCTCTTGTAGAGACTCTGCATTTGTGCCCTGTTCTATTGGCAATACAGGAATAGCAATTTTCCATTAGTTCTTGTTGTAAAAGATAAGAGCTTCTCAATCGTACAGTTTCCATCTCTTGCTTCTTACTTAGAGCTAATAATGCCATCCAATCATATTTTCTGGGTACGCCCTTTTTTATATTTCTCTAGTGTTTTGATTTGGAAATTGATTATTTACTTGCTATATTGCAGTCACTACTTGCAGCTCTTGGATCAATCCAGTTTGTGTCCAACATTGCTTTTGCCTACTTTGTGTTGAACAAGACTATTTCAGTGAAGTATGTATGTTTCTCACTTCCCGTTAGCTGGAATGAAAATTACAATCAATACATGGAATCATGTGATTAATGAAGCTTTTGCGCTTCTTTCCAGAGTCATGGTAGCTACAACATTTATCGTCTTTGGCAACATCTTCTTAGTATCCTTCGGCAACCATCAATCACCTGGTATGGGTTGTTCCATTTGCCATTTCTACTATATGTGGTATCTGCGAAATATTTGCAATGTAGAGATGTGCGATTTCGGTTGTTTCGTGGTTCCTATTTAGTCGTGCTGATACTAAAATTATCTTGTCAGTTTACACGCCGGAGCAGCTGATCGCAAAATACAGCAATTTGGTGTTTGTTCTTTATTGCATGTCATTGGTCTTTGTTGTTGCATTTAACCATTATCTCTACAGGTGAGGCCTTGCTTGTGTAACCTATTCTCTTCAGAAACAGGCCATGCTCTTCCTTACCAGTTCAAAAACTTTTTTTGCAGGAGTGGAGAAACTATTATTTCAAATAGTTCAAAAGATGTTGGCACATATTGGCGAACAATGTTGCCATTTTCTTACGCTGTTGTATCTGGTGCTATTGGATCTTGCTCAGTCTTGTTTGCAAAGTCATTGTAGGTTATATTTTATTTCATAAAAATCCATGCATCTAGGATGCTGATTCTGTCAGATTTATTTGGTGCTGACTACCATGTGTTATCACCCCTCCTTCCTGTTTCCTGTCCAGGTCTAACATGCTGAGGCTGACTATGAGCAGCAGATACGAGTTCCATAACTGGTTCACATACTCAATTGTTCTTCTGTTTCTGTGTACTGCTGGATTTTGGGTATGGCAAACCTAATGAGTTGTTTCTGATGCTTACTTCGCTGCGGTTGTTTGTCTAATTCAACTTCTGTATGCCCTATGTTACAGATGGCAAGATTGAATGAAGGGCTGTCATTATTTGATGCAATACTGATTGTTCCAATGTTTCAAATTGCTTGGACCTTCTTCTCTATTTGTACAGGATTTGTTTACTTTCAAGAATATCAAGTAGGTTCCTGTTTGCGATAATCAGATAATGAAGTGAATCATGCATTGCTTAATTAGAAACTGAGGATTCTGTTTTCCCGCTGTCAGGTATTTGATACGCTCAGGATAATTATGTTTGTATTGGGCATGACATTTGTCTTCGTTGGGATCTCCTTGCTAGCACCCGATGACAGTAAAGGTTGGTAGAAGGTTGATTTTCATGTGCTTTCACACAGAGAAGATTTTGACTCTTGGTCAATTGTTGGCAGCTGATACGAAAGATGGTTCGAGCACCGCCGAGGACTCCATAATTGATATGGACAGGTTCTATTCCACGAACTTGTAGAAAGTTTTAAGTTTTGCTCTGTTGCATTTTGTGTTCAGTGTTTTGATATATAACTTGGACACTGCAGAAATGGAAAGATGCAGATGGAGGAGACAGACACAGATGATAGCAACTCGTTTGTTACTTCTGTAAAAGTAAAAGCAAAACGTGTACTGTTGAAGGCAAAGGTCATTGGCTTTCTTTCTAGATCTGATTGTACCATTGATCTGTCACAAGTCCGCCTTTCTCACTTGTTCATATTTGCAGTCTGCATGCTCCATGTCCCTTGGCCTTGGGGAGGACACCATAAGCGCTTCATCGGTGCTTACCATGCCTATGGTCTCATCAAGAACAACTGGCTTCAGAGGGATCGGAAATGGCCGTTCAAAGTATGTCCCTTTAAGAACCACAGATTGGAGTAATCTATAGCCGATGGTGGTATATAGATACACAGCAAAGGTCTTTACTTTTGATGTTGCCTAGCGGATGGCAGTAAAGTTTTTTGTTGCTTCCAGAGGCAATTGTTTGTTGTGATCATAGTTAGCTGTAACATGAGTGTATAGTTCAACGTTTTTCCCCTTCAAAACACTGTCCATATCCAGCTGCATATACATGTGTAAGTTTTAGAATACAACTCAAATGATTCAATTCGCTTCCTATTTGCTCAACCATTTCAGTGGTTGTGTGTTGTGATCATCTTCTACAGAATTGCAATTTCTTTTGCGGTCGGGCCGCATACTGGGAAGGAACCGGAACCGGGTTAGGTTAGGCTGGTTGTTCCAGCATGTTCATGTGGAAAAGATCGAGTAATGACGAGGCAAGAAGGGCATCTTGTTCTCCCAACTGTGATAATGTTACTGAAGCTAAATCTATGGCCGCTGTTGGTGCAGCGCCAACTGCTTACCGCTTGAACAGCTAGACTGTTGAAAGCCAGATCATGCCATTCCCCTGCTCCAACAACTCTGGAACATGAGATACTTACTTGCCCAGCTGGCCAGTTTGCGCTGCAATTCGTGGTCACTGGGTGGGAGACGAACAAATCGAAATTCAACAACCTGGTGCTGTCATCTAAACTCTTTCCCTGTCGCTCACCAGATTTTTCTTCCTGCAGCGTAATGACACATGGACACCGGTGGTCCTGGTTCTTGGAGGGCCGGAACACGTAGCTTTCTGACAGGCGCGAGCCGTGCTGAAGTTGCCGCGCAACCTCCTTGGAGCTGCTTCGTCGTTGGGCCGCTGGCAGTTGATAAGGACGCGTCCCGTTCCGGTCGTCACTCGTTCGTACTCCTCTCGTCTGCCTCAAAGACTTAACTCGCGGTCGTCTCCCGGCACCGCGTCATCGTGCTCTGCTCACCACCTTCTTAACCTCCCAGCTTACTGTTTCGCCTCCTCGTCTCATCTCATTCTCATCACACATTAGTGAGCCATTCCTAGTCCTAGCTCAGCGCGTCTTCTTCCCGGTTCAGGCTTCGATCGGTTCTTTGTTGATCTCTCGTGCTGCCGGTCAGTCAGCAGGCTGAAATGGAGCGCCCGCGCCGGCGGCCGGAGCCAGCGGCGATCGATATCAGCTGGGTGTCGTGCCGCGGCGTCAGGTCGTCGCTCCCGTTCCACACGCCGTGCCTCTACGCGTCCGTCTCCGTCACCCCGTCGTCCGCCAAGAACGGGCACGCCAACCGCCGTCCCCACCGCGTGAAGACGCCCACCGACCGTGCCGGCGGCGAGAACCCCGAGTGGGACGCGCCCCTGCGGCTCTACCTCCCCGAGCCCGAGGCCTCGCCACCGCCGGCGAAGCTGGAACTGCAAGCGGGCAAGAACAGGAAGGACAGAGGCGACGAGGACGTCCTCCTAGTGCGGTTCGAGCTCAAGGCGGAGGTGGCCGTGCTCGGGGACGTGCTCGCCGCGTCCGCCGCGGTGCCGGTCCCCGACCTCTTCGCCGACGGGCGGACGCGCCGCGTGTCCTACCAGCTGGCGGGCCCCGACGGCAGGCAGCCCAATGGCGTCATCTCCTTCTCCTACACCTTCCACCAACGGAACGACGACCACCACCAGAGCGGCGACGCCGAGCTCGTCGTCGCGTCCCCCTGCCCCACCCCCGCGGTGTCCAGTCCCGTCGCGCAGCCACCGCCCACGACCACGGCGCCGGGGCTGTACCCGGTGATAGAGTGGCCGCTGACGGAGGAGATACCAATTTACCATACACCGCTACCAGCTGGGCCTGTGGCGGTCACGCTCGTGAACTCGCGGTACTACCCTCCTCCTCCACTGTCCGCGACTCCAGTGGAGGTAGTGGAGCCGGTTGCGGTGTACCCGCCGGCGCCGGAGACGTCGTCCTGCAGTTTGTACCCGTCGGTACTGCCGGACAGCGCGATGTACCCACCGGCAGACCTTGCTCCAGTGAGCTGCTATCCGCCAGCGTCGCCGACACCATACGGTGTGGAGCGCGGGTATGGTGCAGCGCCAAGATGGGATCATCGGTGTTTGTACGGCTGAAGTCATCGTACGTTCTTGGCTTTGGTTTTGTGTATGGTAGTTCAATTGATTGACCGTTTCTTCGCGCTAGCCGGCCGGCCGCCTCCGCGTTTTAGCGGAGCCAGCAAGCGGCGTGTACCTTACTGTTCTTGAGCCCTGGAGGTTCCAATCTAGCGCTAGAGGCGTGCTCGTTTTGTAATCTTGCTCCGTTTTCTTGGTATTTTTTTTTACAGATTTGCTACACAGTAACCGGTTGTTTTGGAGGTTGTAAACAACAGGATTCTGAGCCGTAGAATCTAGACTGGCTGCCGTCTGACCCGTTCGATTTTGTTTCCTGTTCCCTCCGTCGCGTAGCTCGCAAGCCGCCGTCGCCGCCGCCCAGTTGCGGGTTCCCGCTCCCTCCTTCGTCGCATAGGTCCTAGATCGCCGCCGCCCAGGCGCGGGCTTGCTCCCCGCTCCCTCCGTCGCATAGCTCCCAGGCCACCGCCGCGCAGGCTCAGGCGCGGGAGCGGCCGTCCCCGGCCGGCGTCCCAGGCGCGGGCGCGGCCGTCCACGACGCGGTCGCTGCCGTCCCCCGGCGCGGGCGCGGCCGTCCACAGCATGGTTGCCGCTGTCCCCCGGCGCGGGCGGCGTCCCCGGCGGTCGTTCCTAGCGCTGGCGCAGGTCGGCCCCCTCCCGTCCACCATTTGTATTTTTTTTAAGTTTATGAAGAATTCGTAAACATTTTGACATATATTTCTCTGTTATGAAATTCATATAAAAATTTGTAAATTTTTTTGAAAATTTTGGTACATATTTGTGCCCTAAATTACATTACTCTATTTAAAAAATTTTACTGAAGAAATTATTATAAATATAGTAATAAGATGATGTAAATATAACTATAAGACATTATAAGGGTATGGAAAAAATCTAATCGTTAGGATAGGCTAAAACAACCTGCTATTAGCTGTACAGATTCTTTTTTTTTTAACTTGTTCGGTAGAATACAGGCTTCACCACTCAGTTACATGCACCGATTAGCTCATCCAGAAAATTAACGAATCAGGAGGCGATTAGATAGGAAGTACACCTATGGTTGGCCATGTGGGCCTGGACGCTTTTGTGGGGACTACCAGAGAAGAGTGGCAGCAGAGGGTTTACATCCCCCACCCACACACACACACAAAGCAGAGGGTTTACAATACTGGTAAGCAAAAAATTTCGGCCCCCTTGCAATAAATACGAAATTTTACAAATATTGGGTCAAATTTAAATAAGTTAAAAATTGGTATCATTTCACTAGAAAAAACTCTCTAAACCATCGTCCAACACAAATTTATATACGGTAATGCTCCAACCCGAGCGTCAGCTCCCAAAAATATCAGATGGACTTTATGCTCATCTCAACCACTCATTCTCTACGTTAATTCTTATCCACTCATTTCTAAACTTGCACCGACATCGTCTCCTCCTCTGCCTCTTCTTCGGACTCGCATCCGTCCCTCGCCAAGCCGTGCACTTCCCCCCACCGCGCTGCACCCCATCGTTGGCCGCGCCACGCCCCACTCTACCTCGCCCGTCGCGGTTGTGGCGTCACCGGGCCACCACCAACCTGACCCTACCAGTAGGAGGTTGTCGCCGGTCGGGACATTGTCTCCTGCAGCCAGCCGAAGACACCAGGGTAGGAAGGGAAGTCCTACAGCGGAGGTGTACACTGGGTCGTTGTTCTTGACGTCCTCCTGACCCGAGCTTGCTGGCTACCACCGTTCCCCACCAGGTATGCCATGGCCGTCGGTGACGCTGTGTTTAAGTGTTTCAAGCATTTTCAGACATGCTGCAAGCCTATGTTTTAAGTGTTTCAGTTGTTTTGGATGTATATTTTAAGTGTTTCATACGGATGTTGCAAAAGTAGCTCAGGATGTTGCATATGTTGCAATGGTTGTACACGATGTTACAAGCGTCTGTTCCCAATATTTTATCTGTTTTTCAGACGTATGTTGCAAGTGTGTTTATCTAGATGTTGCATATGTTTTACACAGATGTTGCAAGTGTTTTATTTGGATGTTACATATAATTATTTTCAAGTGTTATCAGGTGTTTTTGCTAGTGTTTCAGATATATGTTGCAAGTGTTATAGCTGCTTCTGACATATGGTGCATGTGTTTCATTTATATCTTGCAAAAGTAAATCGGGATGTTGCACATATTGCAATGGCTATACACGTATGCTTTAAGTGTATGCTCCAAATTTTTTAGTTGTTTCAGATGTAAATTGCAAATGTGTTATCTAGATGTTGCATATGTTGCAGTGACTATATACATATATTGCAAGCGTATGTTCCAAATATTTTATCTGTTTTAGACGTATGTGTACAACAAGTTCTTCATGTTGCAAGTGTTTCATGAGCAGACGCTAGAAGCAGGCGCATGCGAAGGCAGTCCCCACGGCTGCCGGCGGTCCCCACGTGCGCAAGGGAAGCGAGGCGGGCGCGGGCGGTCCCCACAGAACGGCGCGGGCGCGCAGCAGTAGGCATGGGTGAGCAGGCAAGCGAGTAGGCGCAACAGGCGGGCAAGCAGGTGAGCGAGCAGGCGGAGTATGTGGGCAGGCGGGTGAGCAACCCAGCAGGCCAGCAGTCGCGGGCATACGTTCGGATGTTCGGGCGCTAGCAGTACACGAAATAACACAATATATCACAGAAGTAGAGCCATGGTAATATAACGGGCTGATGGTGGGCGGGCTGCATATGCGTGCCATCGAATGTGTGAGTGAGAAAATTAAATAAATTTGAAGAAATTTAGGGCTTTCATAAGACTAGAGGATATGGAGGGTCATTTTAGTGTGGTTTGGTGTAATTTTGGAGTGAAAAATGAATTTAACCGAAAATTTTTGACCAATATAAATTTTTTTCGATCCTCTAGGAAAAAACAATATTTTGTCGCCGAAATTGTAAACCGCACCAATCGATTATCCAGAAACATAACTTATCCCCTGTCTAGTTATTGTTCTTCCTCCTCCTGCCTTCTCTCCTTGTACCCGAACCTTCTCTTAAATGTACCTCTGATCACGATTAACCCCCATGCTTACTACCTATCTCCAATTCTATTATTCTCATGCTTGTACTATTGTTGACAGCCAAAATGGGACCGGAAAGTTACGTGCAAACAAGAAAAAAACTAGAACAATTTAGACAAAGTTTACAAAACCCTGAAAAAATTGACCTAGGCTGGTTTTGGAAACCGGCTCAAACTGATTTGGATGTTGGAGAGGAATTATAAAAAATGGACTAAGAAACAAACTAAACTAGCAACCAGACTTGACATAGGACACAAAGTAAAAACTACATACTCTGAAACCAAATATGCAAAGGTGATGGCATAGGTGTAGGGTAGGAGGATTTTTGGTTTCGTGGACAGTGGGATGAAGGCGGACAAAAAATAACTAGGGTAAAGGGAAAACCTGACATAACACAAGAAGCTCTAATTACCTCTTCATGGAAATGGGTACCCGATCTTCCGTCAGGTGAAGATAACTCTCGATTTCATAGAAAACACATACCATCCAACTTCTGATAAGAAAAACCCAAACCATGCAATTATAGTACCACGTCTCCTCTAGTTATCAACCATGCACTGTGTAAAGACCATGACGCCTAAGAGGAGGGTGAATTAGGCAACTTAAAAAAACTACTTCTAACTATGGCCTCTAATTTTCACCTTAGCAAAACCTATGCAATTAAATAAACTATCTAAATGTGCAACTACGGTTTTGCTAGGCGTGTTGCTATCTCTACCGTAAAAGAGTTATGCACCATAGGTTTCAATCCTATCAACTAGCCTTTCAAACTAAGCTAGGAAAGTAAGCACACAAAAGATACATAATATAAATGTGGAAGGTAAAAGGGTGATAGAGATGCAAACTCCCGTCGACGACTCTAGAATTTTTACTGAGGTATCGAGAAGCTCACGCTTCCCCCTAGTCCTCATTGGAGCCCCTCGCAAGGGCCAAGCTCCCAGTCGGATAACTCTGTGGATAACCTCAGGCCTTCCCCACGCATAAGTGGGTCTCCAACGTACCTTCCTGCAAGCCTCTCCTGGATGCTCCCCGCCATCTTCACTATTAAGCTTTTGGCCAAAATGTTGCGGTCCTTGTTCCTTCCGTACACGGTGACAACCACACCATAAACGCGATTGGTGTGGTCTCGCAAGACTTACAAGCCCATCCGATGTACAAAAATGATGCGCACAAACACCGAGTGGTAAGAGGTGTGCAAACCTCAGTAAACACTAGGCCTAAACCTAGAGCAGGCGCATATGAGCGTGGTCTAAGTAACCTAAGCACTTCGCAAAGCGCCTATTCTAATCACCGAATATTTCGCTAAGCATTGTGCACGTGGAGATCACTAAAATAGAGTATCACCTTTCTTGATATTTTTCTCAGCCTCTCCACACCTATAGATGGGCAACGGGCCGGTCCGGCTAAAAGCCCTAGTTTGGTTTTGGATAATTGATAAAACCCTAGGACTAACCTTTGATCTAAGCGTGTGAATTAGATGAGGGAGTCAAATCCAAGTGATGGAGCAAGATGAAGTCCATGGAGATGAAGGTGGACATGTGATGATGATGATCAAGCTCTAACTTGAAAAAGAAGAAAGAGAAAAACAAAAACAAGGTTGACCAAGGCAAAGACATCAAATAGGTTTTTGTTTTGGTGATCAAGACACTATAGAGAACGTGATCACGTTTAGGATCGATAATCGTACTATAAAGACGGGAATTCTTTGGCTAAACGGTTTATCGAGTGCCACTAGGTGACATGATTCTTGCATATGCACTTAGGAATCTAGTGTGCTAACTTGACCCATGTAAAATACTTTGAAAAATATTAACACACAAGTTCTACACTTTGTGGTTAGCAACTTCGAAGCAAGGGCGAAGCAGTTGAGGAGTTAGAAAAAGAGAAGAAGGAGAAGGCACGCGACCGGACTCACCCCGGGCGTGTTCGGTCATTTTTAGCTGAGTTGGCAGACTTGGCCGAGGGCG